TCTACTTCTACTACTGCTGCTGCTGCTGCTACTTCTACTACTACTACTACTACTACTACTACTACTACTACTTCTACTACTACTACTACTACTACTACTACTGCTACTACTACTACTACTACAACAACAACTACAACTACTACTACTACTACTACTACTACTACTACTACTACTACCACCCATCCGGCAAGTGCAGGAGACGCGGATGGAGCAGCCGGTGATTGCTGCCCTTACTCCAGCAGCCCCGACGGCAGCCGCGGCCGCATCACCGGTGAAGGCCGTCAAAGAGGGTCCACAGACCCGAGGCTATAAACCTTGCAAGCAGTTTAGGGTTTGAGATCAAGGTTAAGTTTGAATTAGGGGCATCCTCAGCAACAAGTCGTAGGAATTGCACCATCAGTAAAGCGAAGAAATCATGATAAGCGTGCCAGCCGCGACCCGAGAGTATGCCAAGCGCACGCAGAGCGCATTTGTGCTTCCCTTTAACCCTCCAGCTCCAAATCCCACCCTCCGAAACCCCTACGTCTAACAGCTGCCAAACAGCCGAAATGCTACATGTAACCTTTTAAGCAGTTTTAAACCCACGAGCTATAGGCTTGCCCTCAACCGTGGCAGGTCATCGAATACTTGGCGAAGAGCTGCCCCCACTGCCAGTCGATGGAGCCTCTTTGGAAGGCCAGGAAAAAGGAGAAGAGGTTGAGGGCGGATTGGATTTTTAAGGGTTGAAAGGTTTAGGGTTTAGGGTTTAGGGGTTTAAGGTTTAGGGTTTACGGTTTAGGGTTTAGGGCTTGATAAGGTGAGGTTATTAGGACTGATGAGTTCGTAGATGAACTTAGATGTAGAGATAGACGTCCCCAGAAACCCTAAACCCTAAACCCTAAAGCCTAAACCCTAAAGCCTAAAGCCTAAACCCTAAACCCCTAAACCCTTTTTCGGGTGCGTTGTAGTAGGAATCCCCATCACGGTCTCCTTGGTGGACCTACGGGTTCCTGTCATCATGGTCCCCAGAGCTCAATGTCCTTTAATTAGGGAGTACACATTCGATGAGAGGGGGCCTTAATGTCAAATTATAAGAGGCCTTTACGTCAAAATATAGGGGGCCTTAATATGCAATTCTAAGGGGCCTTGACATTAAAGTATAGGAGGCTTTAATCTTATGGTTGAAGGTTTAGGCCTAAACTACGGGGTATTGGGCTCTTTGTGTCATCTCTTCGCATGCAACAGCGCCTTGACGGCTCCTGTGGACCTGGACGAAGGATCAGTAGGCAGGAGCCGCCTGTAGAAGGCTTATAGGAACACTTGAAAGAACCCTTAGGGTATTTAGGGTTTGGGGCTTAGGATTTGGGGTTTATGGTTTAGGAATGTAGCCCTTAATCGAACCCCGCAGATCGAGGAAAAGTGCACGTACCTGTTCACGAGGCCTTCCGGATTTTATGTCCGTGCTTTGGAAGCCTGAACCTGAAATCACTCCCGAAACTTAAGAATGAGACCCAAAACCCAAAACCCTATTCCCTAAACCGTGTGTGATTCTTAGAGGTCCTGATAGAAAGGATCCTATTCTGTCAGGTCCATCTTAAGGTTCCGAAGACAACACTATGAATGTGAACCCATGCAATCCAAATAGCCGTTAAACACCGAAGCCCAAACCCCTAAGCCCTAAACTCTAAACTCGAAACCCTAAACCCTAGACCCCGAACCCTAAACCCTAAACCCTGAACCCTGAACCCTAAACCCTAAACCTTAAGTCCCTTAGCCACAACATCTCCCTGCAAGCCTCAGACCTCAGCCCTTACCTGACACCCGAAACGGGTCCTTAAAAGCCCCTCAAAGCCGAACCCTAGACCACATTTAGGTTTAGGTGGTTTAGGGTTTAGGGTTTAGGGGTTTAGGGTTTAGGGTTTGGGGTTTGGGGTTTGTGGTTTGGGGCCGGTCGGACATTCAGCCATCGGGCTTTGGGTTTAGGGTTCCCTGAACCCTTCCCCCTAAACCCGAAATCCTAGCTCCATGGCCGTGATAAAGTGGGAGGACGCCCAAGCGCAGTGGGCAGCAAAGGCCGCGAACCCCAAAGTTCAGTGGGAGCAGAAGGACGGCAGGGCTTACCATTCTTGGGCTCCCTAAACCCTAAACCGTAAATCCTAAACCCTAAACCCTATACTGCTAAACCCCTAAACTGGGTTTGAGCATTTGGGCCTGGAGCCCTGAGCCCTAATACCCCTAAGTCTTGAACCCCGACCCTAAGCCTAAACCCTAAGTCCTAAGCCCGAAGCCCTAAAATCCTAAGCCTTGGCCGCTCCAAAATCCTATGCCCTGATGCCTGAGATCCTAAATCTTGAATCCTATTCCCTAAATTTGCCTTGAGCGCACACAAAGCCGCTAGGCCCTAAATTAAACCCTAAACTCCTAGTTCCACCCCTTTTGATCCCTCAGCCCCTTATTACAAACTCCATAACAAAACCCAGACGCCCGGATCTCCAAACCCGAACCCCTAAACTCAACCTCAGCGCGCCTGAACCCCCAAGCCGAAGAGCCATAAACTTTAGCGTTCTTGGGCATTACGTTCTTGTGGTTATTATGATAAGTTGCAAGGGGTTATTGCCTTCTATTGAGCGTCTAAGGCCCTAAACCCTAAACCCTAAACCCTAAACCCTATACCCTAAACCCTTCTATTGTGCGTCTAAGGGAGCTTAATTAGACACCTAAAGAGCCTCGGTGCAGGAATGCTTCGCCCAGGGTTGGGTTCCAGGCAAAGACCTCGAGGAGTGCAAGAGGAGCGTGGGTGCCTTTTTTGGTGGGGGTTTAGGGTGTAGGGTTTAGGGTTTAGGGTCTAGGGGGTTTCAGGGCATGGATGCATGCATGCATGTATATATGTATGCATGTACGTACATATGTAATTTTGTATGTAGGCCTGTACCTAAAGTTCTAGACATTCTCTCATGCTGTTTAGGATCATAGTGGCCCGAAGCCCTAAACCCTAAATATTCATACGAATCAGGGTTTCGATCCGGAGGTCTTTGGCTTGTAGGCTCGATTCGGATATCTTTGGAGTCTCCATGAACAGTGCCCGGACGTGTTAGAGCTGAGGGCAAACGGTTCTATGTTTCTGCACGGGTTCTACACGGGTTCCTGTAAGGGGTTCGAGAAGGTCTCGCGGCTCTACCAGGGTTTGTGTGAGGGTTTTCTCAGAGTTCTGTACTGTAGGGGTTTCTGTTGGGTTTGGACGGTTTGGGAGTTGTGAGCCTTTGTTCAGGAAGTCAGGGCCAAGGTTAAGTCACGCGTGGTCGGTTTCACTTTAATAACTTTAGGGTCTAGCATATCGCATTGGCAGGTAGTCCGTGGCAGAAGAGGATGCGAAATTTTCCAAAGCCGGAGGGCCGATGGATTGCAACTTGGAGAGCAGAGCCCCTAGAACCAGGCTACGGACCTTATGATCTCAATGCCGTCGATTCTTTTTTCAAAGTCCTGGACCACTACCTCCGTGACGAAAGCTTGGCCTCACTGCCCTCGTCTCGAAATACGAGAGTGGTCGGACGTCTGTTTGGCTGTTTCCACCTTATGGCCATCGTGGGTAAGGCGCCCAACACGCTTGGAGCATCTTGAGTGGATACAGGTCCGCCGCATGATTATAGCTAGGCTAGAGCAGCTACCGAGTAGACCCACCCACATTCGCTATACGCTATGAGGCAGCCGTCTTTTTTCTCTGCCAATATTTCCGCAGATTACGATGCGACGAAGATATGCCTCTTCGCAACTCTAGAGACTGCGCGGGAGGAAGGTAAGTTGACCAGTCAGTGCTTGCTCACACTTGGGACGCTGATGCAGGAGGAGGACGGGCGAACGTTTCCATCCGAGAATTCTCCGGAATCTCTACCCGCAATACACAGCCATCTACCAGCAGAATCAAGGCGCCATCGAGTCGCATCAAGATTTCAGCCAATGCGGCATGAAAGAACACTTTGCCTGGTCCATTGGCTTCACCAGAAAGCTTTGCAAGTCTGAAGCTGCAAGGCGCTTCCACAGGCAGGCCAGAGGGCCGACCCGAAGGAGACCAGAAGACAAACCAAAATCTAAGAACCCCCGAAGCCCGACCCTTATACTCTAAACCCAGAACATCACAGAGCATTACACCCTGGTGGAGTGCATTTTCGGGCTTGGTCCTCAATTGGCGCGCTGAGCTCAGCACAGCACACTCTTCGCTGTGGCACCGTCAGCCTGGTTTGTAAAAGCACCACGCGAATAAGGAGAGAACGAAAAAGATTAAATGAGAAAGTTCTGCATTGACAAGAAAGAGCAGCAATTTCCATGTTGATGGAGTGCCCCAGGAAGAGGATCTTAAAGACACGTCGGAGCATGGAGCAGGCTGTGGGAGGGGGAAGGGGGCGAAGCAGAAGTGTTTTCTGGCTCCCCCGTTGGCCCTCGTCCCTCTTCCGGCCTGCAGCTACCAGGACAGAAATAGCATGACATGATTTAGCAAATTCTGACAGATAAGCGAGGAAGAAGGCAGACAACGACAGTGAAGACAGCAGGGGACAAAGGAGACAGAGAGGACAAAGGGGACAAGGGTGGACAATGGGGTCAAGGAGCACGGGAACAAAAGAAAGAACGAACACAGACAGGATGCAACGGATATCAGAGAAGAAGACAACCAGAGGTAGGAGGAGAGCTTGAAACGAAGCGAACGGTAATGTCAGATGTCAGACATCAGACAGAGAGCAAGTGCAAAAAGAATCACAGAGACAGCAGATTTTTTGGAACATTTTACTGATTACAGAACTGTTCCACACCGGAACGACATTGCCATAGGAAGAGTCCTCATCGGATCACGTTCATACCATGTAGCTCCGCTAAACCAGTTGGGGTTACGTGCTGTTTCTATCACATCTGGGCTGACAGTTTGCGATTCAACATATCCTGTCAAGATTCAGCGTCAGGGTTGGCATGTGCAGGTGTCATGAGATTTGGGTTTGTGAGTTTGTGCTCTTTAAAAATGTGGGTTTAGATTCAACATCATTTTTTAGGATGTGGATTTTTGGGAGTGCTGCATTTAGGTTGAGGGGTTGACACCCAGTTGGTTTTCATGTTTTGGTTTTCGGGACGCAGGCTCTCTGCCACCCGCTTTGTTAGCCCCAATCTTTTGGATTTGCCGTCCATCACACCCATCATCTCTTGCTAGAAATCGAGATGTTTTTGGCCATTTAGGGCGAGAGTGGTCTGCCATCCACCCGTTTAGGAATGGTTTTTCATTTGCCACCCCTAGTCTCTTGTCGCAGTTTGGAATACATAGGAACCAGTTATCCTTGTCCGCACTCGGGGTTTGCCAACTATGATCCATGTGGAGTTGTTGAGCTTCCATCCAAGTATATAACCTGGCTCTGAGACCCATTCAGCATGTGTGGGCTTAGTGCTTCGTGATCATCATTTTTCAGAGGAGTGGGTTTAAGGCTCGGTGGCCAAAACATGTAACCGTTTCTAACAGGTGGTGCAACAGTTTTAAATCCGAACATATCACGCCACCGGAGCGTTTCATTCCCGAACTTTGAAAACTTCCCACCCCAAAACCCTGAACTCTAAAACCAAAACTCCCTCTGTAGGAATCCTTACAAGATTCCGTCCGAAGGAGCAACATCGAAGGCTTCCCCACACTGAAGATCTTCGGAGGAACCTCTCCGGCTGCGGGAGAGGAGTTCAGCGGCCCAAGGTGTGCCTCAGGGAGTTAAACCTCAGGGTTAGGGGGGGCCGGCGGGGGGAACGGATTTTTATATGTGTGGCTAGGCTTTTGGGGGTTAGGGTTTTCGGGTGCGGGGTTGAGGGCGGTTTTGGGGTATTGGACAGCAGCTGTTTGCATGTGGTCTTACGACCCTACTAAAGCAAGCGTAGCACCACCATGAGCCATCCGAAATCTGCTGCTTGCCAGGTCAGTTCCCAATATCCTCTCATGGGTGCAGCGTCTCGGATGGCAGACTCAGTTCGCCAAACCATACGGAGTTCCGGGTTTTTGGGTTTGAGGGCTTAAAGATTTAGGGTCCGACTCTTCAATTGCTCGGGTTGTCATAAGCATGTAGCACTCTACACGTCTGAGCTTTCATATTCGTGGGTGTTGGGAGCAACAATAGTAGTTGGACAGGCCTCATGGACAAGGTGTAGTATCGTATGTTTTGACATCGTTCTTGCTCCTGTAACTGATGTTGCTACTCTGTCTCGCGTTTGGGATTTCCTCTAAACCTAAACCCCAAAACGCAACATCTTTAAACCCGGCCAAGTCCGGGAGTTGCTGAGAAACAGTGCTTATGTGCGGGGCGGGTTTTGTTCAGTGCAGATGTGGCTTCGAAGAGGGTGTTATTGGTTATAAAGGGGTGCAGCAATAAAAACCTAATGTGTGACGAGCCCTTAGCCCCTGAACTCGCGTTTGGGCCCCTCGCAGCAGCAGACTTGGGCCCAAGCTTCGGGAAGCAGCCTCCGCCCAGTGATGAATGGATAGTTTAGGCGTTCCTCTGCCGCGAGCTTTGGACGGAGACAGTGCTCCGGTGCATCTTCTGCCACCGCACAAAGCCTTCAACTGGATCCAGGATGGATCTGTATTGGTCTTTGATGTGACAGCCTGCAGCGAAGGTAACAAGAGCCCGGCTGAAGTTCCATGGCGCCTGCAGGAAGGAGGCCCGGGAGACCTGGTGCCCTACGGTTTTGCGACCCTACTCTCCGATCTCCCCGACGAAGCGAAGGCCACGGTCTTTGAGACATTCGTTGATGACTTCTTCGGTCCCTCTGAGGTGCCGGAGTTGGCGATAGTTTTTGATCGCCAGCAGCAACTTGAGACCGCGAGGCAGCCGGGGGTGGCGTGTCCTCCAGGCCAGGCCATGGCCCAGTGGATTCTGCGAAACAAAGCCCGGCCGCACCAGGTTTTTCTGGTGGATCGTGACGAGTATGCGAAAAAATACCAGCGCTTGCAAGACGCTGCAGCCGGAACTGAGAGGCTCACGTTTCCTTCGGAGATCGTCGAGGATGGCTTGTACTTGGGGCCTCTGCAGACAGCAACTTCGTCGGCGGTTCTGAATGGCCTAGCGATTACGCATGTGCTCAGTGTGATCGACCACTCAGTCCCTCTGCCTAGTGATGCTCGGGTGGAGCATCTCAGTCTCTGCATCGAGGACCATCCCGATGTTGCGATGTTGACCTTCCCGAAACACCCTAAACTGAAACCATAAAAGCCCTAAGCACCAATACTCAAACCTTAAACCTTGGTAGCTGAGTGGATACACTTTACACATGTTGGGATAATACTACGCGCTGTAAAACTGAACGTGTACACTTTTTGGGGCTTTTGAACTCAGCAACTGAGAAACTGCCTTAAACCCTAAATCGAGGACCATCCCTCGGCTGACCTTTACCCGGTCCTCAAGAAGGCTCTTCCCTGGATGCTTGCGGCTTTTGCAGAGACTCCGGGTGCCAGGCTGCTCGTGCATTGCGCACAAGGTCGCTCCCGCTCGGGTAGCGTCGTGATTGCCTGGTTGATGTGTGTCACTTCGTCGTGCAGCAAGAAAGTTTCGTAAGAGCCTCCGACTTTTTATGGGTACGATAATCCCCTATATAATCTCAAAGCGTAGTTCCTCTAGGCAACTGGACGAGTAAGGTCAAGAGGGTGCTGGAAAGAGACGAGAAGAGCGGTTCTCCTGCATTGTTCAGGGCCGTAATGGGGATCGTGAAGCACCTTCGGCCATCTATCCAGCCCAACTATGGCTTCGCGTGTGCTTTAGAGAATCTCTTCCACGACGAAGGGGCACTTGCGCCTCTGTTGATGGGAATTGAGGCCTTTCTCAAGACCCCAGGCGGCAGACGATGGCAGCTTGCATTGGGCTGAGCGCTTTCGAGGGTTTGGGGCCTTAATGATTGGAACGGGATTCATGAAAAGGGTTCCTATAAGGGTTACCCTATAAGGGTTACCCGATAAGGGTTACTATAAGGGTATTCTGGAGATCTAGTATAAGAGTCTAACTGTTTCGTTACGCCGATGTACAGTCGCGGCTCGAGAGCTTCGTCATGCCTCACGGATAGAGGAAGGCAGCGCAGAAGCAGAAAGGTTTCATGGTGTTTAGGGTTCGGACGGAGATGACTTCAGAGTTGTTTTATACCGTTTGCACGTTCGTAAGTCGCGCGGGTACCGAACATAAAACCCAGAACAACTACCAATGCTATTCCTTAGGCCCCCGTATTATACTTATACTCTAGCCTCCACGCAACCCTTCTAAGAATTTAGGCCCCTGTATTACTCTTCCACTTGCTTCTTTGCGTGCCCGATACCCGTGGCTGAAGTTCAGACGACAAAACAGGAAGAGTAGAACAGCCAACTTTTACCAGTATCGGAAACCTCAGTAAGATTACTCTGATTTTTGTTACGCCTATCAGTGTTACAATTATTGCTGCTGATATTCTTGCGTTATTGTCGCTATGATAAGTTATCATAAGCTGTATCATCGACATCTTGGTCTTTTCTTATGTTGCTTCCCTGCCCTGGAATCAGAAGCACAAGGGGGCAGTTAACAAGTGCAGCCGACACGATCACCCCGAGCCCTCTTTTCGAGGATTGAGGTCAGGACCTAGGAAACCTGAGACTTGAAGTCTAGGGGTTTAGGGTTTAGGGTTTAGGATTTAGATTTCGGGTTTAGGGTTGAGGGTT